TGTCTGAAATCGTTTTAAGCATACCGAATTGAGATTACGAAGAGGAAGTTAGGGAAAATAAAATGTTACTGAACGCAGTATGCAGCGAAATGTTGAACATTACCCTTCTGCGATATGAACAGAAAGAATGGCCGTATGTTATCATTTAAAAATCTTCACTTTGCTAAGAATTTCGCTCGCTGATGATGCATCAATCGTAAACAAACTAAGCAACGAAGAAAACATTCGTTCTCAAGTTCATCCCTCCCTCTTCTCGACGCATGGATTCCGTTCATGTGTTTCACACTTAACTGAACACTAAAAATGCATACGTTGTTGAACACCAAAAACAGTTCTGGTTTGCTGACCTTGTGAGTAAATTGTCGAATAAGTTGTCAAGACAATTATAAATCGAATTATAAATTGTTGTTGCAGTCGAATTATGTTTCTGAAAAATTGAGAGAATATTTTTATCTGATTATTTCACAACTGATTGATTTTACTGATTCATAGCATTAATTTTTAAAAAGTTACGAAGCAAAAGGAACATGTGCAATGAATGACATAAATTAAACGATCTTATGCAGCTGAGGATAGTCATTAGACAATTAACATAGATATTAATCAGAGCATGGATAAAAATGCATTTAAAGCTCAGTATATCAAAACGTTCTTTTTTTGATCACTAAATTTGGATTTTATATTATTAAAAGATTTGCGAATCTGTTATGGTGGTGGTGGTGATCAAAAACGAATTCGCTAAAATATATTTGTGCATGTTGTTTGGTAATACAGTCAAAAGATGTATTGTGCACAGATGAAGGAGATAAGAGACTTGACGTTGTTGCAAAAATGAAGATGATTAAATCAGTGATACATCGGTGTACAGTTGGTATATAATATACTACTGGTTGTGAATTTGTCCGGAGGAATCGTGCTCTACTCAGAGAATCGTTCACAATGCGAACGGGTCAACGAAGGAGGGAACAAACGACAACGACAGCGACAACAACAACCACATCATGGCGAATTCATGGTGGTACAAATGCAGTAAGTGGCTCAGAACAGAACTCATCATTGGAAATGCATTTACAACGATCGCTTGTCTCTGTCGATGCGCTCGCTTGTTTCATCTTAGGTATTGCATTGTTCTTCGCACCCTCCTACATCGCTCAACATATCTTCGTGAGTTTTTTTTTTCATTTGTTTATTTTAACTCATTTATTCTAAGTTCATTCACTCAATTAAATTTTTNCTCAAAAAAGGTTTCGTGAAAAACTCAAAATGAAAGACATTCGACACTCAAAATTTCGTGAAACCGTTGCAACTAGAATCATTCCATGATTTTTTTAAAAAAGAATATGATTCCTGCATACCGCTGTTCACGAAGTGAATATTGCGCAGTAATTTTTCTTTGATTTCACGAAATGAATGTTTCGCAGCATTTTTTCTTCGATTTCACGAATGGTCTCTCACATAAATTTCAAGCTTGCACTTTGTATCGATTGAATAAGTGATTCTTGAATGTAAAAGCTATCTTAATTCGTTGAATGTGAACGTATTATTACCGTATGTCATTTATATCAAGAAAGGTATTCCATCGTTGGGATGTCCTTCGAATTATGAATGTTTTAACCTTGAACTATGACCAAATGTATATGTATACATTTGCTAGTCAGACAGGCATTTCGCATTGAGTACATTTTAAACTGTTTAATGCAGTAAATAATTGAGAAATAGCAATAATCAATTTCATGTGTATTATTTCTGCATGAAAGATTTATCGTGCAACAAACAGTACATTTAATTCAACCTGTTGCCAGACGCCTCACTTAGAGCCGCAGAGTGCGCGGAAGAATAGACAATTATTTGAATTGTATATCAACAGTAAAACCGCAGCATAGCATAGTGTTGTGCGGGGAGAGAAAAGAAACGGGGAGAGTCGGGGACATTTCGGGGGCGGGGAGAGTCCCTGAAAATGGCCACCGCTCGAAAATGGTCGGGGATGAGGAGCTTTGGGGAGAAAACTCAATCTGATCACCGTCCCCGACTCCCTGAAATTCCCCAAAGATGTAACTTTGGAACTAGAATGAGCAGGACCTT